CGGAAAACATGAAATTTTGCAATAATCTTACGCCACCCTTGCACAAAACGACGATCATTTTTCTAATTTCATAGACAACAGAAGACTGTATTTTTTCTACATAATCCCCCCCCTGAATTTAAAGCTGGATGCGCCCCTGTTAAGACCTTAAAAACTAGCTGAATACAGGGTCGTTCGGGATCCCCGGCCGTTTTTGGCAAAATATATATTTGTTTCAATCCGGCACAAACAATCCAATATTGTTGGCTGTTTCACCTTTGAATTAATGTTGAAATTAGTCATCGATCAGTTATTTAGGAGCAAAAGACTAGGGGTATTGAACAAACAACAAATTTTCCTTGGACCATGGAGCTGTTAGGCGCCAAAAGCCCGGTTACCTTACATGGAAAGTGTTGACGAAATTAACATAAAATAAATACAAAACGTAAACATCTCCGGCATTAAAGATGAAACCATTCGCATCAATCAACTCTGCCGGTCATCTCATAAATAGCATGGTAATGATGTCTGACGTGAAATTATTAATATGATTCCTGATGTAGTCGATTGAATGTGGAAAAGTAGTTCAGCATTAATCACAAAGTTTCAGCATTCGATTTGGTGCTTGGAAAAAGACAAAAGCGCATCCAATAATGGATGGACGAATAGTTTAACATCCAGCTCACGAAATGGCGCTTTGATTGGATAGTTTTGGGTAAACGATACACGCGCCGCAAATTTTCTAGCTGTTGTTGACAAAATTTCTTAATATTTCTTCCGGTCATTTATTTTCGCTTGACGTCAGCGGGCCGCTGAACTTCCGCCTCACCCCAACACTCCACCTTCCAGATGGTTATCGGGTTTCAACATATTAAACAAATACAAAAGGACCGGTCCACTATCGGTCCAGCCAATTTTTTGCGGCGATTTATAACCCGCTGAAAGAGTATATCTGTATCGGAAAATCGCTGGACGGTTTAATAGACGGAACTCGATTTCTTTTGTGCGTCCACAAACAATGAAATATCGGATTCTGGCTCTATATGAAGTCACATAATGTGCACAGTAACCTTATTGCATAAAATCACAGTCCGAGCCAGGGAACTTCTTCATGGCTCGCTTGGCCTTTTAGCATTTTGTAGAGCTTCGCAAACGGTTCAGTTCGTCCTAAATTTCAGCAAATGCCATCCATAAAGGGAGTCAGTTGCAAGGAAAACTACTTTTCTACTACGTACATCCTTTAGAACCCATTTTTATGCTTCTCATTGCAACTTGGTCGTTTTCACCTTTGTCTGATCAACAATAATCAAATTAGGCTCGCAGGTTTTTTTGCTGATGTGAACGGTTTTGACAAAAATTAGAGTGGTTTCCAACTAATCCACTTATGGGAAGCGAGTAAAAGGTCGGATCTGATTAGGGCGTTATTTGCCACAATCTCGGCTCTAATTGGCCCAAATTGCTTCAGGACATTCGTCAATTTCAATCCATCAGAGTGTAGAAAATAGCATTAGTTTGTCCTCACTTTTCTGATGCATTCTCAGCTTGTGTCTTAAGTACGATGAAACCAAATTAATTGTTTATGTTGTGTTTTCTTTCTTTAAGTATTCCCAGCTTTACACCATGTCGGCGTTTGGGTAGTTTGCCCGAAAAAACCAATCAAAAGCGTTTAAAGAGAACTGAGAGTTTCCTGACTGGCGAACCCTTCGGGTTTTTAAAACAAATTACTTTCCACGCAAAAGCTTCTAAAATCCCGAAAAACTCGAAAGTTTCACGGCCATAGCAAATCGAATGAATGAACTTCATTCATCTATCTACTATTGCGTTAATGTGATTAGTCAAAATCAATTCCTGGGCTTCAGTCATTTATTGTCTATTTATCAATTAAAAAAACGTTTCGGTGTTTAAATAAAAAGCTGTTGACAAACTGTGATTGTTTTTTAGATTAATGAAAACATTTGTTATTTTTTTTTACTATCTGCTATTTTAGTGAAAAGTGTGTACAATGTGATTAGTTAAGCTGATTAATCACCTTGATAGTTGGAAGCTCATGCAAAGCTCAAAGCAAAACCTACAAAAGGTTCAACTTTCAACCTAAATGTATATTTCGTTTCAAACACCGATTGATTAGACAGTCAGACTGATAAAAGATTGTTCAAGCTGAAAATTCAACAGTAACGCCTTAATCAGTCAATCAAACCAGACACTAAAAAGCGTCTTAAACACTCTAAAAACACTCACCTAGTAAACACTGCGGCAATAAACCAGGCCAGAATGCATATGAGCGAAGCTCTGGCTTTGGTGCAAATGTATCCAGCTTTCAGCGGCTTACAAATTGCATAGTATCTTTCGAAACTGATGGCCAAAATGGTCAGGACTGAGGCATGGGCTACGGTCAGTTCTACAAAGGGAACTGCTTTACCTAAAAAATAAGGAAAATTGTACCATTTTCAGCTTTCTTCACGGAATTTCAATTTCAAATATCTGGAAGCTTTCTTTTTCATTCGGCTTCTGAACAGTGGCTCAGCCCAGAAAAATCGGCGCTTTGATGAAGAGCGGCGTAAAATTGGGCGTTTGAAGCGAAAGCAAATAAAAAAACCTGCAAATTCTCTGTTGGTAACACGAAACCGGTGAATTAACATATAAATCTATTCTTTCGGCAACCTTTTAGCTATTTAGAAAAGCGCCGAGTACAAAGGCCTTTCTTTTCGGTTTATGACGGAAGGAAGTGGGAAAAAATCTGCAATGATTGATGGCTTCTATCTGGATTTGAAGCCATCAATTAATGCAATCGGTTTTGCAAAATGTTGATTTAATACTAAAAATTTGGGCAATTTTGTGCGACACATAGACAAATCACTTATGCTCTATTTTTATCACTGATTAAACTGGAACAAGCGTATTGCTTGAATAAACACCACTTTGCTAATGGAGTAATCCTGGGATAAAAGTTAATTGGTAATCTATCATTTACGTGTCAGGCCAGTAGTTTTGGGCCAGAAATCGGTTTTTTCGCTGAATTGATAGTTTTTCATCTAAGAAGAGTAGAAAGTTTGAATGGAAAATAGCATTATTTGCTAGGCTAGAGTTTTCTTGAGGTTTGCGAACACTCTGTATGGAGCGTTCGAATAATAAGAAATATATTGCGGTTAAGATCCAAAAATCGCCAAAATTTGGGCAAAATGTTCGATTTTTTCGGTTCTGATAGGTCTAACATGTTTTTCACTTCTCGCTTCCTTCGGAGGATGAAAATGGCAGGTTTGAGTCAAGTTTTTCTTTCGAATTTCGCCGTCACTGATTGAAGCCGTTTAGTTTTGTGGGCTTTTTCATTGATTTTTATATTCGTGTTTTTTTTTAATGCGTAAATATGCTTCTGGATGGTCAATTGCCTAAAATAAATCTGACTTAATGATGTTAAAAAATCAGTAAAAATGCCAATTTTTCAAAAGTTGAAAAAAATGAGAAAAATTAACATTCAGGCAAATACGCCCACTAAATTTGCAATTTTGGCCGCAAAACTGGAACATTAATTGTACCATTTTGAGTTCCCAATGGCAATTATTTTAGTGTTTTTTTGAATGACATTTTTTTGGTGGGGTTTTATATACAAATTTATAGCAAAAGTGGCAAATATTTCCACCAAATTGTTGTTTCATCACGTTAAATTGAGTTAATTAAAGAAAAAATCGATAGCTGAGCTTGAGCTGCAAAATCAGTAAAAATATCCACTAATCTGAGCATTTTTTGGGATTTGAAACAAACCCATCGAGTTTTACTTCGCATCAAAAATCTTAAACTATTGGCTTTTTTTTAACTTTTTGTATATTTTTAAGCTTTTAATTTTAAGCTTCCGGAAGCGTAAAATCTTAATTATTGTCACCAAATTTACGCTCTCATCGCTCTATTTGTGAGTCAAAGTGGCGCATTAAGCAAGCAAAAAAAAAATCACTCGATCAAGTGCAGCTTGCAAAATGAACAAACATGCCCACTAAACTAGAGATATTCACGATTTTTACTTGAAACGGTTGAAAAACCATTTGTTTTTGAGCTGGATTTTTGCATGAAAAAGACAAAAAGTTGGAAAGCGCCAATAATTTAATTACAGTTTCAATACGGAAATTGACAAAATTTCTCACTAATCCGCAGAGTTTAACTTTTTGCCGAAATCTACAGTTCTTCCGCTTTGTGATCGTTCTCAAACCGCTTAAAAAGGAGCTACTTTTTCGCATTTTTTGCACACAAGGGTTTAGGCGTGTTTCTCAATTGCTTCAAATGCCATCATTTGAGGCTCTGACCGATTTTAGTGTTTTGGAGAAAAAGTACAAAATGGAATGCTTTCGACACAATATGCACATTTGAGAAGAATCTCCCGGTTAAAAATCGTAAACTTTATGGTGCGTCCAGGCCTGACGAGCCGAGCCTCGCCGCGACAAATTGAGTTGAAAGAGCCGATAATACGAAGAAATCACACATAATGTGACCATCGGCTAACTTCTAACTGTCGATGCAATTTCGATTAAGGGGCTGATTTTCGTAAAATTTATGCAAGAATTCCGATGTAAATATTTCGAACCTGCTCGGTCACTCGCAACTAAAAAAAAATCGAAAATTTGCATCCGACAGATAAATCGCAAACGCGCCCATTAATATGACACATGGCGGGGTTTATGTAAATAGGTTCCATAAGAAATAATTTACATTTGTTATTCCTTATGACGCTTTAAGCAGATTTACGGCGGCCATAATTCATATTGGAATACTCCCTGGTTAACCGATGAGGATGCGTCTTAAATGGTTCAAAATCTGCGAACATGAATATCACCTTCGGGCAAACGTACGAAGCTTAACTATAAATTCGTTATTATTGAATAACAACCTTAAGTAAATGGGACTTAAGTCAGTTATAAATCACGCTAAATCAAAACGCGTGAAATGCGCAAAATTCGATGGAAACATTGGAAGATTGGCCTAATAATTAACCCTCGCAGGGCAACAACTGGAATTTGCTGCTAAGCAAAGGTTGAAAGACTGATCTTAATTATCATTAAAAGTTAACAGCTAAATAACTACAGTATACCATTTTAATTGAGCTATTAATTCAGATGAACGGATTTCAAGTCGTTGCAAACAAACGGATAAATAAACGAGCTGAAAGCTGAAACAGCGCGATTCTAATCGTGATTTCTACTTGGGACTTTAGCTAATAGGTAAATAATTCAACTGTTAAAAAAATTACTTTGCAATTAATGGTAAACAGCGGCTTCGGCTTGAGAGATTAATGAACTTTTTGTTCCTTTGCAAGGAACCGTTTGTTTGTTGATGAAAGCTGGAATTGTGGCTGAGAAAATAGAGAACCAGTATTTTTTATCGTTGCTGTAAATCCAGCTCAAACTAAAACCGAGCTACACATGCAGTTAATGGAATTTTTGCAATATCTTTCAGTTGTTTTACTGCAGATTAATATTGGAAAATCGTTCACTATGGGCACTGGGAAGCATCTGGCCATTACTGGATACAATTTTTATTTGCGCATTTTCAATTAAAAACTACCAGCCGCCACAAAGCCATTGGTTATCAGAAGAGTTAAGGTTTCGCGGCTCTTGCTTGAAACTGAAAAAAGATGAGTTTTTCCTGATCTTTCGTATGTACGAGTGGCTACTTCAGAGGTGGTTTTAAAAGCGGAAAACACACAAATCGGGATTTTTGGTCTAGATGGAAAATAATCCTCATCAGCTTAGCCTGATTAATATTGCTGCAAACCGCAGAAGAATTGGCTTATGAATTATTAACATCTACAGCTACAACAGCACTAAAAAGCGTACTTTTAGAGTAGGTAAACATAATCCAATTGAGATTAAAAACCGCGTTTCATGAATATTTAATGTTCTTTTGGAAATAAAGTTTTTCCTTTAATCCTTCCCACTTTGCAAATTTACCTATCGCGGTTGTGTTAAGATCGAGCTAAACTTTTAATAAAATCTAAAAGTGCCGTTGGTTCAAATTGTATCGCCCTTTATCCGCGACTTGCCGCTGCAGAGAAATGAGAAAGTTTTGTTATTTAATTTGAAATCGCTTGTTCACAGCCGGTAAGAATGAAGCAATTATGACCTCCCCCCCCATTCAATTCTTCTTCAAGCCAAAACGAATTATCTGGCTCGAATGGTTCTTGAGAAACTTCGAAAAAAGCAGCGTCATGTTCAAGTGGATTTTGCAACAAAAAAACGCAAATCTAAAACTTCTTGAATTCAAGAAATTTTGGGAAAACTGCCAACATTTCCTGATCGATGGTTCACTTTCTAAAAAGGCCATTTATTTTTCTCTAGAATGATGTACAAATGAGCGTTTTTGCTCATTTTGCCTCCGAGAAATGAGCAAAAACGGGACTGGAAACATGAAATTTTGGCATAATCTTGAACCTAAGTGTTTGATATTCAAATTTCGCTTTCTGGGTCAAAACTACTCGAATTTCCTCACTCACAAAACCGCGCAAATCTAAAACTTGTTGAATTCAAGCATTTTTTGAGAAAATTTCAACATTTCCTTATCGATGGTTCACTTTCTAAAAAGGCCATTTAGTTCTCTTTGGAATGACGTAAAAACGAGCGTTCTTGCTCATTTTGCTTCCGAGAAACATGCAAATCGGGACGGAAAACATGAAATTTTGCAATAATCTTACGCCACCCTTGCACAAAACGACGATAATTTTTCTAATTTTATAGACAATAGAAGACTGGATTTTTTCTACATAACCCCCCCCTGAATTTATCAGTGATACTTTTGTTTGTTCAGAGTGGTTTGCGTGATTTTCCTATTTCAGTTTGAAGAATTTGCCCAGAAACTTGGGGCAACACTATCAACTTTTATTGTATTTTATAAGTCGTTGATAATTCTCCATAAGCAAGAAAATTGGTCTTCCTGCAGCAAATATCTGGGATACATCGGGTCACCCTGTACCTTAAACTCTCTCGGGGCATTTAGAAAATGGCTTTTGGTCATTCCGTTTTTTCGTCTCTGCTAAAGGCCCCAAACTAGATAAATATCTACAAAAGCCTCTCAAGACAATGTGGGGTTCTTTTTAGTGTTGGTCGGTGAATTTTTATTATTCATGACCAGCTACCAGCAATTTAAAGGCACGGCTGGTGGGTTCGAGCTTTATGGGCATGTTATGGGCATACCTGCGGTTCCTGCTCCTTTATACGCTCACGTGCAGCTTAATTGATTAATTTCTCAAATGCATTCTTGATTGAATTTTCGTGAATTTTTGAAAATCGAACAATTTTTGCGTTAATTTTCCATTCAAATGACTATCGGCCAAATGCTCCAGTTTCATAATAATCAAAACATTAACGAAAACAATCGTAATTAGTGCGACGCAAATGTATGTTGGCGTATTCTGCGATAAGCGTTTTACTTTATTTGGAA